TTCATGTGTTGGACAACAATCATCCATCATTGTACATGACCATTAGTCGCCTGACCAACAGCGGTTCATGTGTTGGACAACAATCATCCACCATTGTACATGACTATTAGTCGCCTGACCAACAGCGGTTCATGTGTTCGACAACAATCATCCATCATTGTACATGACTATTAGTCGCCTGACCAACAGCGGTTCATGTGTTCGACAACAATCACCCATCATTGTACATGACTATTAGTCGCCTGACCAACAGCGGTTCATGTGTTGGACAACAATCATCCATCATTGTACATGACTATTAGTCGCCAGACCAACAGCGGTTTGTTTATCTGTTGGACAACATAGTTTTCAGTTGGAACGATACTGAAACCTTCGCGACAATGTTTCCTGTGAGTAACTAGGACCCTGGTCACGGGGCTATAAACTCATTAACACACTTTAAAACTAAGCTGAGATTTATCGAAAACTTCATATGATCACGTAGGAAAAATATATCAAACATTCTCAAAAACATATTCTGACTTAGATTGAAAGACAAATGAACGGTAAAAACGGTATGAAATTAAAAAACAACCACAAATAAATATCGGATGAGAAAGAAAAACAGGAATATTTAATTCATGGATCACTTTATATTAACTTAATGCTTGTCATTTCACTAATATAAAAATATGTCTATCTTTACGTTTTAGGCCTGTATTCTTGTCATTTCACTAATATAAAAAGATAGACATATTAATACAGGCCTAAAACGTATTTATATTAGTGAAATGACAAGAAGATAGACATATTAATACAGGCCTAAAACGTATTTATATTAGTGAAATGACAAGAAGATAGACATGTTAATACAGGCCTAAAACGTATTTATATTAGTGAAATGACAAGAAGACAGACGTATTAATACAGACCTAAAACGTATGATTGAGAGAGTTATGAATGAACTAACGTTTTTCTAATCCGAGGCCGCTTACGACCGTTGGAGCACTTTAGATGCTCATGTATTTGGTAGCCGTCCCTAACTTAGCAGTGATAGGCTAGACGGAAGGCAACTAATTCGATACCACTCACCGCCAACTCTTGTACCCGTGAATAGTCACATTATAACGCCATCACGGCTGAAAGGGCGGACATGTTCGGCGGCAGGGATTCGACCCCGTATATTGCAAACCGAGCATCCTAACCACAAGGCCATGCCAGACATAGATAAAAAAAAGTTATAAATATTTTTTTTTCGTATGAAGTTTCACTACAAAACATGTGACTTCAAAGATCCAATAAGAAACTTGTTCGTGCTAATTAATATTCAGTTTCATATTGTAACACGCGAAGATAAATGATTTTCTAAGTAACTTAGTTCCACTGTCTAGAGACAACTTACCTCCAAACGTTTCACATGTCAAAATATAGGGGTCACCCTCGTTTAGTGGGCCAATCTTATTTTGTTGAATCTCTCCTCTACTGTCAGTTATCTTCATATACTGAGGAGGTACTGGAAAACAGTGAAGCATTATTAAGATAGAAACCTATATTATCCTAGTAACTAACATAACACTAGTCTACAAATAAAGAAAGATAGAAACCTATATTATCCTAGTAACTAACCTAACACTAGTCTACAAGTAAAGAAAAATAGAAACCTATATTATCCTAGTAACTAACCTAACACTAGTCTACAAGTAAAGAAAAATAGAAACCTATATTATCCTAGTAACTATCATAACACTAGTCTACAAATAAAGAAAGATAGAAACCTATATTATCCTAGTAACTAACGTAACACTAGTCTACAAATAAAGAAACACTACTACAAACTGTATAAACAGATAGAAACAATATCTCACTAAGAATGTTATATAAGATATCGTTATTATATAAACAGATAAACAAATATAAACAATATCTCACTAAGAATGTTATATAAGATATCGTTATTATATAAACCGATTAAGAAATATAAACAATATCTCGCTAAGAAAGTTATATAAGATATCGTTATTATATAAACAGATAAACAAAAGAAACAATATCTCACTAAGAATGTTATATAAGATATCGTTATTATATAAACAGATAAACAAATGAAACAATATCTCACTTAGAATGTTATATAAGATATCGTTATTATATAAACAGATGAATTTGTTAGGATAAAGCTAGAAAGAAATAGTAATACACATTAGGCTTACCAATCACCATGACATACGTTTGAAAATGCCTTGTTCTGCCCAACTGGAAATCTACACGACAACGATAACTGCCTTCGTCGCTAGGTACGACAGGATATATCACTAAGACAGAAGGTCTGTCTACTGTACTAAAGAAGGCTCTTCCATTTAAGAAATCTATGGCCACGTGCTGGGCCTTACTGTAAGTTCCCGCTCGGCCATCATAGCTATAAATAGGCTTAGAGAAGTCGTCTTTATACCACAACACGAGCTCCACCGTGTCATCAGTGATGGAAGGGGTAATGTTACAGGTAACCGCTATCTTACCTCCAGCTATGGCGATGTTCTCTAGATAAAGAAAACCACGAGTCTGGTAAAAACTTTTGGTTTACCTGTATTCACTAGTTCGTTATTCATATTCTTTAGCATCATTGTTTAAAAATCGGTTTTAGTTTAAATAAGTAGAAAAGTATATACAGTATTCTTCATAATTAGATGATATAAACGCTACTGCGTAAGATATAACAGTGAGTTACCTAGACTTGGCAACCTACGTTTATTATACACACATCTTACTAAACCAGACTTACCTGGTCTAGCCTGTTTACCTTTCTTATAAACACATCTTACTAAACCAGACTTACCTAAACTGGCCTGTCTACCTTTATTATAAACACATCTTACTAAACCAGACTTACCTAAACTACAAGTAGACAGGCCACTATAAATAAACACATCTTACTAAACCAGACTTACCTAAACTACAAGTAGACAGGCCACTATAAATAAACACA